CTTCCGCCCCCCCCCTGCCCCCCCCCCCCCCGTTATTTTTGCACATTCGCAACTGCCACCGTGGCGAGCGAACCACCGAAGCGACGTTTGAGAGCGCGTCGATCTCGGTCGAACGGCCCCTTCGCATTTCGACACGGGCAGCAGCAACCGCCGCCGCCACCACCGGGGCGACCGACCGTGCAGCTTGGAGAGAGAGAGTCGCGGCGATAAGGGCGGCACGACCGGTCGCTTCGCTCGCTGGTTGACGGCCGCCCGATGGAAACTTGGCCCATCTCTCGCCGCCGCGGTTCACCCCCACCACCACCACCCCCCCCCCCCCCCCGCCTCAAATGGCTCTGAGCGACGGCGTCGATACGAGGCCGTCGGAAGCCATCCGTGCTGTCAGGTTGACGACGCGCGTTTAGGCCTGCCAAGGTTAAGGTGACTATCGGTATATTAACTTCGGCGTTAATCATGGCAACGTGCGAACAATATCAGCTTCATAAGAAATATATATAAATATATATTTTATCCGTGTGTTGGTCCATACAATGCTCAGTTATGAGCAGGCCATTTTACAATGCATTGTCTAAATATATGTAAAAAATAGTAAAAATCCGGCCAATATCAATTCACCAATGGATTAAGGCCTCTCCAGGTCGTGTGAGTTTTTATTTTAATTTTGCCGTACTTCACCGCACTGGTCAGTGCAGGTTGGTGAGGGGGCAGGGAGGGCACTCACCACTGATGTTACCCATGGCCAGGAATCTAACTCGAATGGCGTGTTTTGGACCCAGTTTCCAGGTATGCACATCCATACCAGACTGCTGCTGCTGTTGTTCTATGGTTACCGTAGATTTCCTTCTCATTTGTGTTTTGGCGAAATGCTCTTTTTTTGCACGACATTCCTTGCAGCCCGCTATTGTTTGAAGAACAAGTGCGGCAACCAGGACGCGTCCGATTCATTCAAATTCACACCCATTCATTCTTTCATTCCAAACCCGTTCCCGTTGTGCAGTGTTTCGTGCGACGCAGCGACAGAGACGACGCTCAATTTACGCCGATTGCAGATTTAATATCCGAGCAGTCGCCACCGGGGATCTGTTTCCAAAAACACAGCCTAGACAAAGGCTGGCAGCAGTCGTCAGGCAACAGAACCGCTCGTCACTCTATAACCTTTCAAGGCACGGCAATCGTTTCGGACTCGTGCAATAACGCGGCAAGTTTTGCCGAAGTCGCGCGTGCAACTTGCGTGTGCACGCACGCACGCACAGGCTTGGGTGTCTCTGACCGAAGAAAAATGACCCGGTGATTTATCACTTTCTCCCAACATGAAACCTGAACGACTGCTGTGGGAGCTAATTGAACAGAGCGCTTTGATCATTCTGTCACGGAGACAAAGACGGACGCTCGGTAAATGGGAGTTTTACTGCTCTCCCGAGGCGGGTTTACGGGACAGAAGCTGCTTTGTACACACTTCATTGCCGTCCAGATAGACAACGGTGAGCTCATTTGTATGGCGGGGGCCCCGCTCAGGAGAAGCGCTGGGTGTTTGTACCGCGAACAGATGGTCGTGCACCTAAAACAGCGGCAGTGGCCGCAGCACGCTGCATCGTATCCTCCGCGGCAATTAGTCAAGCAGACGCTCATTACCGACCGCTCAGCAGTTAGGTGGGGCCCCTTCGCGACGGGCTCGAGGTGGAGAGGCAAGCGAACGTTGCTTTCACGCTCGCCTTTGTTTAAGAAGCTCGGCTAAATACTCGACTAATTTTAGTCTTTCATGCGAAGAACATGTTTTGTGCGAATGATTGCAAGAGGACAAGCGGGTTTATTTATGTTGTTTGTTTAGTCCACGAATGAATGCCCTTACCATTACATGTATATTGTGTTGCATGTGTCCATGAAAGAGATAGAGACGGAGCTGTACGGGAATGGCAATTGCTTGCACATTCTACATGTCTGGGTGACCTTTGACTTGTGAATGTACAAGTGCATAGCAGTGTGTGTATATATGCGAGTATGTTTGTATGTATGTGTACACTTTGGAAATCAGACAAGGTTACTTGCTACATTACAGAATCAATTGTACATTTTTCCTTAAAGCAGGAGACATTCATTGAAATGATCTGGAGAGGAAAAAAATACACAAAGCAGTTGTCTGAAGGACACACTGCACTATATATTTTGTATGCATTGTATTATATATATAAATAATAAACCAATCTGCTGATTTTCACAAAGCAGAATCCACTCATCTGGTGGAAGGTTCCAAAACTGGGTCTGTGATAATATAGCCCTCCCAATGCCTTCTGGCCCCGCTCGCTCACGGTGCTAATTATTGGAGCCTGCAGGTAAAAGGAAAAAAAAAGAGAGAGAGGCTTTCGTAGTAATAGGGGGGGGGGGGCACATCACAAGGGCTTCTAAAAAAAAATCTCCACGCTAAAGCAGCGAACGCTCCGGAGATGTGTTACGTAAAACACATGCTCCCACGTGTTTGGCTTTGGGCCTAAAATACAGAGGAAATGCCGCCTGCCAGCTGCGAGCCGCGTTAACCGACCCAGTGCCAGTTTTTTTGCCCTCCTTGGTAGGGTTCGCTTTCCAGGGTAGAACGGCGGAATGCTGAGCACGGGGGAAAACTTCAGTAGCGACACTTCGCCCGAAATCTAGTAAAATCTATTTCCAGCCATAATAAAGCGGGCCACGTGGCGATGCGGGGGTCAATTAGAGAGCCCCACCCCAGAGGAGTCGGTCTTGACGATGATCCGTAGGGCTGCAGTGGCGTGAGCAATTGTGGTAACCCCTCGATAATGTGGGTCACCTCATGACAGATTCAAATTTATAGAAGGAAAGCCGTGGTCCACGTTTTAATTGAGCCACGGCAATTTCTTTAGGTTAAGCCCGCGTCGAAAGTCCTGGATGTATTATTTTCAAGCGTTATAAAACGTACGAGTTAAAGGACAGAAGCATGCGTGCATCCGTGCGTGCATTGGGCAGGCAGTGATTCACTCCCTCTGGGAGTCATGGAACTTTCAGGATTCATGGTCACAATAATTCGATTCAATAATCATTCATTTTTTGCCATTGCGGGGAAAGTCAAATCTATCTGTTGTGGCGAAAGGGTTTCTGCGAGCCAATCGCACACCGCATAGAATAACAATGATAATAAGCATTATTAGTTGCTAACTGCGATAACAATCTTGCCAACTGCCATTTAGCGGCATCTGCAAACCGTGCGAATGAAGCACAAATCTACTGCTGTGCTCCCGGTATAATGTCTCAATTAACATTTTAATGTGTTTAAAGTGTGCGCTTTACATTTCGAGCAAGTTTGCAAAAGCAACTATTCACAGTCGTGGCTACGTTTTTGTACGAAATGAATTTTTTTTATAAACTCTGAAGGTTTTCAAATGCAATTGACCGGGAGTTAAGATTTTTTTGGGTTAGATCGCATCAGTATAAATGTGTCGTAACCCTCCACCACCCAACACAGCCAATTAGTAAGGGATTTGTCACGTAAACAAAACGTCAATTAAATTTCGATTTAAAGCTTTCGTGACTGCAGGGATTCATCTTCTTGGTTCTTTCGGTAAAGTCACGTAGAAGGGAAGTAATAAAATAATAAAAATAAAACATAATAAAATAATTCTCACGACGTTTCGGCCACAACGCAAGCAGCCGTCCTCAGGTGAAGACCAGGTCTGTCGGGGAGACAGCGTCTGACGTGTGTTGGAGAGTAAATCCACAATATTTACAATTTGAGTAGTACGACGTTTCGCTGGTAATTACATCAACCAGCACCATCGGGAGATTTGGCAGAATAGTGAAGCCACCCACCTGCTGCCGGTCTTAAACGGAGCAAGATGATGTCATTGCTGTTACGACACATTTCTGCTTACGCGATTTAACCCAAAAATCTTTATTATGAATAATATTAGTCGCGATGATGTTTGATTTTACCTTTCTCCGGGATTACTGCCACAAAAGGTGGATAAGTGTATTACCAGGGTACCTTCATGATAATTAAACCATTACAAGAATAATTAGAATTATAGGCAATTGAGTTCATGAAGCAGAAAAAACAACGAATTATAGTAAATATTTTTTCCCATTAAAAAGGGCTAATAGAAGCAAGAAGAATTAGCAATTATTGAAAATATTAACAAAAATATATTCTAAAATCTACCTGACAGTCACCGGATTTTGAACACTGAAACGTTTGCATTCATTCTCCCTCAAGAAAAGTAGACAGACATATGAATGTGCCTTGTATTTGAATTTACGATGTAAGTATTCGTGCTGCGCAAATCTGGATCATCTCTACTATATTGTTCCCGAGCATCATTCGAACAAAAAGTTAACTCCCTACAGATCTGCCAAGGATCTAAAAGATATAGAATATGAATCCAAAAAAGACAATCATATTATTAATATTATTGCTCAAGAGTTTATCAGAGGTAAATCTCTGCAATGTATTGCTCACGCCACTGCTGATAGATGGGCCCCAACTAAAATAAGTTCCAGAGAGCCCCGCGAGACGACATTTTGACCCGCCTTTCTGCACCGGCTGGGGATCCTGGAAGAGGTGAAAGTCCCCACGCTTCACCCCACCACACGCCATCTGCCGATCGATCCAACTGTGGTGTAGCCATTTACACTTGCTGGGTGGACAGAGACGACGGGGGGTGCGGGGGGGGGGGATTTAAGAGACTTGCCACATGATTTCAAACGTAACACTGGGAGGTCAAAGGCGGTGACTCTGGATTACAAGTCTCGTGCACTTACTACAACACCCTCGATGGCAGCATACCAGTAATTACTAAGAGGTTAATTCAACTTAAAAGCTTCCAGTAACAATCTATGAATTTCCAGCCAAACTTGCTTTTTTTACATACATTCACATCGTGCATTAGATTAAAGGGCTCACTCTAGTCCTTTGACTTTCGTAAAAACTGGGCTGCTTTGACACATTAGAGCCACAGTGGGCATGGCACGTGCCTTTGGGGCGAGGGCGAGGTACTCACCAGGGCGAGCCGTAGATGCGGAAGCCCTTGACCGTGACCTCCGAATCCTGCAGGTAGATGCAGTTGGTGAGCAGCCCCTGCACGTTGTCGTAGTCTTCCGGCTTCAGCTTGGTCACCGACGGGAAGCGGTAGTAGTCCTGCTTGATGAGGTCGGCCATGAAGTTCTTGTCGAAGGTCAGCTCGTGGTTGCCAGCGATCACCACCTTGTACTCGTACGGCAAGCTGCCTGCGGTGGGCAAACAGAGCAGACGAAAGGGGGGCGGTTCCACCACAGGCCATACGGTCGCTGGATCTACTGCGGTGTCTCACCCATCGACAGTTGAGGAAAGTAAGTGGGATTTGGGGCAGGACGCCATCACGAGTTCGGGCGGTAAAGACGAGAGGAGCGATGGTAAGAGGGCGTGCGCCATAGGAGGGAGCGCAACCGGGCGGACGTCCACCTGGGAAAGGTGGAGCCGCCATTTAGCGGCGCGCGTTGCAAGCAAAGGTCGCGCGCGAGTCCATTGTTGTGTTCACAATACAGGATTCCCTCATTATTTGCGAGGGATACGTTCTGGACAATAATAATGGCCTACGAGAACCTATCTTTGGAATGAATTAACTGAAATAAATACGTATATAAACTATGGTGATCATGTGTCTCATCACTTTATCTCATCACTTTCTCACATCACATTCTCTGTCATCACTTTTTCTCTCCCGCTCTCTCAATGCAGTCGTGTAGAGAGTTCCAGATGCGATTGGTGGAAAAGCCAAAATCGCGGAAAGCAAGTTTGTGAACGACGGGGGAATAACTGTACAAAGCCAGTGTGGAAAAAAATCACCATCGCACTCAGGCTGCTTTCACTTTCTTGTGCAATTAATTCATGCCCTGGGCAGGGGCCCGAAAGGTTTAACACACCACCGGCGGCCATCGCGATGTTTGCTTTCAGGAGCTCCTGCAGTTAAAACAATGTTGCATTGTGGTACCGTGAGAAATGGTGATGGCTTTGGACAGGCCTTAAGCCAGCAGTGGATAAATCGTGGCTGAAGGATGATTCCCACGATGAATGTGGGTTTGACAACCCACTTTGGACGGTTTGTCCAGATGCATTAAAACATAAATAAATTAATAATTGCTGTTTGCCGTGTTGTCGGAAATCGGAGTGGTTGGGAAATGTGAAAGCAATCAAGGGGCTAACACGCACCGTGTGTGCTCGTGTATAAATTATTTTGTGGTGCTACCGTGTTTGCAGTAGGGAACAAGCACAATCAACATTTTTATAATTTCAACACGTTTGTCAATAACGCTGCCTTGAAATGGGAACAAAAAAATATTTAACAGGCAACGTTTCAGGCAACGGCCCTCTTTCATCGCACGTAAATCAACACACTGTGTAAATAGGTAGGTGGGTCGAAGATCTATTTGCTATCCTACTTGCCCTGCAGGATCCTCTGAGGTCACACACCCAAGCAGTAGGATTACAAGCATGCGCTTCCAAACCTGCCCATTAAAGTGTCTACCCCCCCCCCCCCCCCCAGTAATGTATTATCCTTCAACACCCACTCAACACCTTTTTTTTGTAAACATCAGCTTGTTACAGAAGATCAGGGCAAACTGAATAAATTCCCGCGACTGCATTAGCCGTTAACTTTTTCTCTCTGTCTCTCTCTCCCAGAGGTCGTAACCAGGTACCCCATACCCGTTTGCGACCCTGGTGCGGCCGGGTACGGGTAGACCGTGAGTTATTGTGAGTAACCGTTTGTCACTCATTTCCCAACGTCTTGTCTCTTCTCACAATTCAAGTTCCTAGAATCAACCCACCCGTGCCTGCACCATGGCTTCATCCCAGAGGTCGCAATCAGGTACCCGATACCCGTACCCTACCCGTACCCGGCCGGGTACGGGTAGGGTACGGGTAGGGCCGGGTATGGGTAAGGAATCAAAACCCGTTTGCGACCTCTGCTCTCTCCCCGGCGCGGCAGTTGAAGCGGTCGGCAGGACGTATTAAATGTCGCCGCCTCGGCCCACCCAGCGGTTTTGTGATCGGCAGGTCGTGCACGTTGGAGTAAAGTGTGGGTGCCCCCCCCCCCACCTCTTCCAAAATCTCTGGCCAGTGTGGAAGAGTAGGCCAAAATACCATCGAGGAGGGCTCTTTTTTTTTGAGCTCCTTTCAGTGGAGGCCCTGGCACCAGCAGCGGAGTAAGTCAAGAAATTTCAGGGCTGCAACTTCGCCTTCTTGGCTCACCTTTTAAATCATGTTTGTGTTTATTCCATGTCCTATTTGCATAGCTATACTATCATGCATTCTGCACATTACTTGTTAGTATTCCATCTGCTTATGCACTTTGGCTGTAGCTCTCCATCAGGGCCATTATACAATACCCAATGAAGTGTAAAATTATACTTATGCATACAGTGAAGGCAGCCGAGCGGTACGGAGACTAAATTAAAGTAAAATAACTCAGACCTGTTATGTAAAAAAAACTAAAATTTAAATGATTGGATTTTCTTTCGCTCCGCACTGTTTTTTGACGTAAAAAAAAAGAAAATGAAACGGCGAAGCTAATCGTGAAATACAAAATGTCAAAAGTGTGCTGAAGGCGTGAGAGTGAGGGCGAGCGAGCGGAGCACACCGAACTCCCCCGCCCGACCCCCCCTCGTGACTGCAGTCTCCACGCCAGCGAAAGTAAAGCTGCGACGAAAGGAAATGAACACGGATTATGTTGCAAAGCAAAAAAAAGAAACGCCCTTAAAAATCACGATTAATTAAAGCTCACGTGCGACAGTCGCCAAAATAAAAAATAACATGTCCCGATTAAGCCTAATAAAATTAAAATGCGCCGTAGAAATTATTTGGTTCGCAGATTTTCGTCAAAAGCTTAAAGAGGTAAAAAGGTGCGGCCCTACAATTTCTTCCTCATGCCACTGCTGGAGGAAGGGTCTCATTTAGAGGATATGTTTGGCCTACTCTTCCACACTGGCCAAACATCTCGGAAAGGGTTGGAATACCCACACTGCACCCCACCCCGTGACACAATTGACCAACTGTGGTGAACCCATTAATACTGCGGGGTGGACAGAGGCCAGGGGGTAGGGGTTTAAGAAATCTGTTAATTTTATCAACTGGCGTGCCGGGAGATTGAACAGCTGACCCCTGGATTGCAAATCCACTGCGCCAACCATTACACAGTGGCAGCATCCCAGATAAAAAAGGGGAGTGGAAATGTTGAGCGTGACTTTGTGTTTCGGTGCGACAAGCCCTCCCAAAGTCTAAGAATGAAAGTCCGAAATTAAGTAGAAGGGTAATTAAATGCAAAACAATATTTCACGTCCCTGTTCCAACCAATTAATCAAGCGACGTAGAAGTCCATCAATAGCAGGAGTGATCATACTGGGAAAGCACAGTCCACACAAAGAATGCAAGAATGTCCAACGCTTGCGTTCATCCGAATCTGAATCTTTATTTATCCTGGAGAAATCCGATGAGCTTTGAAACTCTTTTTCACAGATGTCCAGTAAAGCGGGTGACTTATAATGCACCTCTAACACATTGAGGACCACCCCACCCATAAGGGCAGGTAGGGTAGAGCAAGTAATCTATTGTTTGTGAGAGCAGCTAAAATTAATGAATCTTCAGAAATGAACTCGGCTGAAATGTGAGTGGGGCCCACGTTGCGGCCACCATTGACGAGCGCGTGACGAGACGCCACAAGTGCATCTGTTGGCGCCACCGCTTCAGCGGATTCTCTAAGGACACGGCACTCAAAGCAACGTGGAGTGTTTGTTCAAGTGTCCCAGCAATCGGTAAAAACGAGGCGGCCGCGCGGGGCAGCTTTGGGACATTTCTCCCGCGACTCTAAGAACCTTCGATAAGTTGCTTTCGTTTGGCTGTTGGGAGCCTCTGGCATTCATCTCGAATCTTAAACACCGTGAACGTGTGCCGGTGTGATTTGGACCACTCGCAGCGACCCACAGTTATTAAAATACGCTGCTTGTGTTTTTTATGTTCGCCCATACCTATTTAGCGGGTATCATTGTCCTCGCTCGCGTCTTTGTCAGTGCACTCGCAGGTTTCTGGTCAACGTGACTCACGCCAACTGCTCCCCACGCCCCACCACTTGATGGTGCCGAGTCTCCATTTCATTTTTTGCTATTGCGTAAAATCTCAAATTTAAAATCGCAACAATGCTCCGGTTGTTTATACCGGCGAGGAGTTTCCATTTGCGATATACCTATTTGTATCAAATATGTCGACAAATGAGACCAGAATAATAATTATAAGGGTTTTCCCCTTTTTTCTGAAACCTTTTTACAAGGAATCGTGTGTGCATTAACCACAATACTTGTGGTCAAAATGCAAATAAAAAACACACTCCGATAATATATGCATTGTCCTCCACACCAGAGACAGCTTTCTTTTGAGCCTCGTCTCAATTGGTGCTAGACCAGAGGACGCCAAAAGGCATACAAGAATACACTTAAATAAGATCCCCGAGTGAATAAACAAGAATTTCCCTGCAGGAAGTACTACAAAGCGCAACCCATACTCATCTATGCTGTGTCCAACCACCACCACCACCAACCACCACGCTTCTCTACCTCTGCTTCTCTCCCTCTGCTTCTCTCCCTGCGCTGCTCCACTTTGGAGCTGCCTCCCATCATCCGTGTTCCCAAGTTCTTACAACCTCGCCCGATTCAGGAAACGTACTCACTCCTACCCATTACACCAAAATAGCCCCCCTCTCTCTGTTGCTCGCTGCTGAGCATTTTGGGTCCTCTTGCCTGCGCTCAGCAGCCAGATTAACAACAACAAATACAAAGACCCCACTGATAACCCAAGTGCGGTTTTCTTGATTGGGAATGCGCGTTGAGCGTTATTCCATCTGTGAGGCTCTCGCCACTAGTGATCTGGGTGATCTCGCCTGGAGATTCACACTCGTATACTGCAGGCTTCCGACTCATCAGATAGAAAAAAAATCACGTAAAAATATATATATTAAATAAATTAAATTTAATGTATAAAAAAAATGTATATATAACGGTGCGGAGGAGCCGAATACATTGATGCAGCAACTCGTCCACCCGGACACGTCACTCACAGCCTGGCACAGCTATGCTGAGAGGAAAAGTTCCGACGCACACCGAAGACGATCCCCCGCTGGGAGTGGGGGCGCGGCCACTCGCCGCCGCCGACCCCGAGGACGGCTTCCAAACCTCGCCGAGGAAGCGATCAAGACGGGCGG